GAGAACCAGACGTACAAAAATGCAAACCTAGTGTTCATTCTTTGGCAGTCTGCTGCAGCTGATGGGCAGAGGTGAGCAAACATTTACACCTGCACATATTGTGTCTGCACATGTTCAATTTTAAACACCAACACCAACATTATGAGGATGATTGATTTCTCTGGGTCCTTGAACGCTTCAAGATGCTCCAATACTTCCGAGCTGAATAAACTTCCTTTGCCTTAGAAGCAAGCTGACCGGCACACCTTCAGAAACCTGAATAGTCGCCATCTATGGTCGTTACACTGATCTCATTTATCCCTCAGTAATACACGCATCACACATTACCTCTGACCTACAGCAGAATCCTGTGGTTCAGTGATGTCTTTTCCAGGTCACAGCAGCCACCCTTAGATGGTCTCTAAATAACAAACTTAGTGATTGTTGACAGGCTGTGTTCTTGAGTCTCCCAGCGATCTCAAATCAAGGTTTGCATTAATGCCGTACACTCACGCAAGGCTTACATGAATAATTTACAACAGGCCAGAATGTGAGTAATGACTTTAATCTGTGCATTATTTTTGTGCTCTTAGTCCTTTTAACTCCTTGTTCTCCTCACAGATGAAAGAGGTCAGGCCTCTGGATTGTTTGCCTGTTCCATTATCTGCAGCCTCTAATGTCAGTGGTAAATTTCAGCCACCCAAACAAAGATAAACACAAAGCCCAGGGTCCCAGAGGTGGCTGCGACTGTTCAGCATCATCCCGTCAAACCAAGGATGTCTATCTAATCAGCCATCTGATGAGGTCATCTCTGGGGAGCTCGCTAACTGGGGTCAAGTCAAAGCCTACAATATTGGCCCCTGTCAGTTTAATCACCTATTATAAAAAATTCAAAACAATGACATACAGAACATACACCAAATTCTAATTTTTACAGTGAACTGTGGAACAATCAGGAATAATTTCCAGCTTTACAGGTGTTACTCTTTAAGAAATAAAATTAAAAGACGACTTAACATTTGCAGCTTGGTCTGTTGTTAATATGAAACCCACAGAAGTAGGGCCTGCTGTCCGATAACAGCAACCAACTGTCAGCAATCAAGTCTTTTTGAGCTGTGCAAGTATTTAATATTAGCTAGTGGTCATGATACTAGAATTTAAAAACTTGATACCAAAAATCAGGAAAATACTCCATACGCGATACCACTTTCAACACCACAGGGAAAAAAGTGAGAAAAAAGAAAGTGTAATTAGCTTTTCTCTGACAACGCCGCGCTCTAGATAGATAAATTTCAAAGGCCTAAAAACTGTATCAGCGTCATTATTATTGTTATTAATCCAATATTTCCCTTGTTTCACATTAGAAACCATTAACTTGTACAACGAGACTGGGAAACAGATCTCTGTTTAGTGACTTCCTACAAATAAATAAATAAAAATCAGCAGGCTACTTCAGGATGTAATTGAAAGTGTATGCATGCACGTTTGTTTATAATGTTCGTCCCTGCGGGTGTCATTGTTTAATTCATGTTTTTGTGGATTTACATCAGGATATCAAAAGGCAAAAACACAAAACATGCAACTTTATGCTTTTCTGCTGGGTGGCCCCAGAATCTAATTTTGCCTGAGACTTAAAAAGGCCCGGAGGTTTACAAAGGGCTTTACTGATGCATTTCATCTAAGATCTCTTCCCTGAGCCCTGTTACTGTCCCATCCTGCCACGGTTCAAAGGAAGAAACAAAAAGAAGCTGCTCTCACTACAACAGGAACCCTAGCTTACCGCTGCAGTACAGTATTATTTTTGTCTTTGAGCCGTTAATGGCAGATGGAGAGAGAGAGAAAATATACCATTTGAAAGTCATGCACCAGACAACACTGCGAGGAACATTTCTAGGTCTTAAGATTCACAGCCTAGAGCAGACTTCCTTTCTTACAGCTCGCACAGTACAAATCTCTCAGAAACAAGGGTGTCTGAGTGATCTGTCAAAAGCAAATGTCAATCTTTTTTGTCATCCACACTCAGGGTTCTCGCTTGCAAAAGCCCCCAAGGGGAGCCGAATCTCAGCCCACCACTTTCTTTCTCTCATCCTGCAGCCATACCGTCACCAAAGCCAGGGAGGAAGTGTCACATCGAGCCGCTGTGCCTCTGACAAGGCGGGGATGGGGGGATGAGGCGGTGGGGGAGGATGGCACAAACGCTATTTACACAAACAAACTCGACACGCACACAGAGATACACACCATGCCCTTGCAGATTCCCAGAAATATCCTACAAGAGGCAACTTTCCCCCACGAGCTACGAGCTTTCTCTCCCTCCTTCTTCAGTCCTTCTTGTCAGACAGGTGCCCACGCAGCTGCCCATCAGCATCCCTCGGCGTAGCAGCCTGTCTGTCCAATGACAACAAGCTCTGTCCTTCATATCCACTGTTCAGATTATACAGTCAAATAAAAGCAGGCGGCCAATGAGATCCGAGGTGTCTACTGTAACAGAACTAATGCTTCTATCGGTATCTCCCGCACAAAGTGGTAAGCTATAAATTTATAGATAAACAAACAGCTTTGAAGAATCCTTTAAACAACATATTGCTAGGCATATACATCACACGATTATACGATTACAGCCACTGCAGAATCCCACGTCTGCAAGCACACAGCCAGCAGACCACAGAGGAAAGTATGAGTGTGGTTGATGTGGGGGTGGGGGGTTTGTCTGTATATAAGATGAAAAAGCCCTATAAACATTTAAATATTTGCAATCACCAGCTGGCCCGTCTAGATAGTGTTCACATCCTGGTGCACTGCAGTGTCAAAACCTAACTGCACAGAGGATGTGCTCCCGTAAATATTTTGATTCAGCTCCATCATGTAGTGTACACACACATCACGCCTGGACTTGCATCTTCCATTGCCCATCTGATTTAAAAGTCTGAAATGTATTTTTAGACTGAGAGAGCAAAGAATACAAGCTGGGGAATAAAGAGGGGATTTGAGAATGAAATAAATAAATAAGAAAATTCCCAGCAGTAGATATAATGATGGGAAGCACTGTGTTGATTTTTTTTTTTTTGTAAATCGAGCAGCTATTCAGGTCTCTGGTGAGGCTCCCGCGTTTGCTTACACAAGCAAAAGCTTTCGGTGGCATATGCAGCTGCATTCATGCTTTACAGGTACGCTGCAGGCTCTTCACACAGCTGCCTGTGGCAAAGTAAATCTGACTCCAGGTGCGCCTTCCCCTCGACACTTCTTCAACGGCAAACCTCGCTACATCCACAGCCCGCAATACAAACACGGCTCTCAGCTGATAACCATCCTCAGAAATGCAGCTTACACTCCCTCCAACAGTCACCAGACACACCTTGGAAGGCCGCAGGTAGCACTTTTCCCCATCCGATAGCTGCTACACCCATGCCTCACCTTTGCTTCCTATTAGCTCACTAAGCAATAAAGTAACAGCTCCTAAAAGCTGCCACACAACCTCCCACTCTAACATTTTCCACATATGCCAACTAAAAGAATAAAGAGGAGAAAAACTCTTTATGTTTTCCTTTCTCTGTCAGCAGGTAAGAAGAGACCTATAGCCCTTTATTCAACACTGCCATCTTTATTCTTTCAAATGGGATCAAAGACTAACTGGGATAATTCCTCCAAGCTCCAGGCTTTATCTTCTGAGCTGTACTGAGTGACAAGAAGAAGCTGTATTTTATCCCATGCTCTGTCACTGTTTTTCCCCATCTAGCATTGTACTGCTTGATTGTACTCTTATGAGTCACAGAACCGCACCTGCGCCCATGTGTTAAGTACTGACAAATAAAAGCCCAGCGTCCATTTACACAACAAAGAGATGTAACCCGCGAGGCAACCATTCTTTGCCTCCCTCCCTCCGTCTGACAAGACCTCAAATATATCACTTACTTAAGAGGAAGGCAGCGCACGTTCCTGCTCCTGCCAGGGACTGCTCTCTCTCCCTCATGCTCTGACAAACTTCTTTTCAAATACAAATCCAGAAACAAAACACATGCCACCCTTTTATGTTCGGTGGCCTGTTCCATATTTAATTTCAGAGTAACAGCAGTAGAGATGATGATTATCAAAGCTCTGCAAGGCAAATCCAGTCTCAGACTCCCTCGCCAAAAGAAGAAAAGAAACCCCGTCATTGTTTAAGGAAAGAAAATGTTGGATTTTTGGTAAACCAGTTGCTTCTGATTAAAAAGGAAAAAACATTTTTTAAAAATCCTTGTCTTCTACTAGTTCTGAGAATTCAAGGCAAAGCCTAATAAAAACCTCTGACGATCCACCGGGGTTTTTAACAATGAACATCTGACTTAGTGATTTATGCATATTAATGAACTCCAACACCCCCTGTCTAAGCGAATACAAGCTGAGCTCCACACTTCTCTGCATCCTAATGGTTTCTGCTCCACCGGGATCATTACCAATAGAAATTTCAGATATTCTGTGCTATTAATCTCTGTCTGTCCTCCTGTTCGGCTACGTAATGACTAATTAAACATCAAAAGAGCAGAGCTGTGGATCCGCTCTGACAGCCTCTCTTTCTCCCAGGAGAGGCTGTGAGGAGGCTAGACTGTGACAGGGCAGCACTGAAAATCAATCACCTCAAGGTCCACATGTGTATTCACACACTCGCACGCACGCATGCATGCGCTTTTGCACGACACACCAAAAAATCTGCAGGAAGTTGTCGCCCGCCGAGACCTTTACGTGCTCGGATTAAAACAACAAGCATGTAAACAACAAACACTAAAAGTCTAAATCAAACAGCCACCACCGCAGTCGCTGTTGAACAAGCCGCACAGAGACAACACAATTTCAATCCGAGAAGTGTGCCGGGGTTGTCAAGAGCGCTCTGTGTGTACAACTGTGAAAAGAGAGGGTGTGTGAGTGGTAAAGATGTGTGTGTGTGTGTGCGTGTGTGTGTGTATGTGTGTTTGAGTGAGTGTGTTTGTTTAGGTGAGCTCACTGTGAAATCTATTTATATGAGAGGTAGATGATCTTCCACTCACAGATGAAGGCAGGCCAGGAGGGACCTTGCGAACCTTTTTTGTTTGGAGAGGATCTGTGGAAAGATGAAAGCAGGGTGTATTCATTCAAAGGCAGAAAACAAAATAATAAAGAGGCAACTGTACAGAAGCCATAACTCACCAACAAAATCCTACGAAGCATTGTTTGTGATTTTCACATAAAGAATAAAAGAAAACTACACACAGTCCTACATGACATATCAGAGAAATATGTCGATACTTGTTTTTTTGTGTGTTTTTGTCATTGCTCTTTCAACGCAGCCTGATGACGACTGAAGCCAGACACCAAAGCAGGGTGTGTTCATATTAGGGCTGGCCAAGTTTTATATCAAATGTGGAGTTATTACAGCTGTCATTTTTTTTATTAATCTTATCAAGTGATTATATAAAACTAAACTAAAAGTTAAAAGTAGATGTGAAAATCAGTAACTAAAATAAATATAAAAACTAGACTTTTGAAAAAAAGGAAAACTAACTGAATTATTTACCATTATTTACCTGCTTGTTTCAGTTTAGCTTTTATTAGTTTTGCTGTTACTTTTAGTTTTCCTTTATTGTGCAGTGGATGTTAAGACTGTCAAACAATTAACACTGTCACGCAGACGCCCCAAGGCTCGATAAACATTAGAAACAAAGCCTCACCATGGCTGTACATAAATATAAATAAGTATTTAAAAAATATTTACATAGCGAAAATGAGAGAATCACAATTTTTTTGATATAATATTAACAGAAAGTTTCTTTTTCTAAAAGAGCTCATTTAGATCTTGGAAATGGTTTCACACCTGAGGAATATCACACTAAAGTTAGATGAAAATGTTTGGTTTTTTTCCATATTGAAGCTATAATATCTGTGAAACCACACACATGATTTGCGCAATTTTAAAGAACATGTGCCATGAAAATGTGAAGCTGTAAATATAACAACCTATTGTGATTTCTACTCATCAGAGATCAAACATACAAAATACCATATTTTTCGGACCATAAGGCGCACTGGATTATGAGACGCACACTGTAGATGAAGGGATCTGTTTTCATACATAAGGCATTGATGTTGAATTCTCTCGCAGCTGCTCCATTCCCATGTTGTTGCAGTATATTAATAACTAACCTCTTATTGTGGATGGATTATCTCAGTTGTTCTCCTGACTGAAGTTTGGTCCGTTTACAGTACACTACCATGCAATTGCATTTGTCAAAAACCATCGGGAACCCTCACCTTAACTTAGTTAGCGTTCATCCTCCAGCTTCACTGTGGTATGCTTTATGTTATGCTAACATAGCTGTGTTGCTAGTGATCACATAGCACAGCATTATATACCAGCTAGCCCAACCGCAAACGTCACTGCTGTTTAGTTTTCTGTCTTCATTTATGTTGGAAGTGATAGCAGAGCTGTACGTTTTTATTTTTATTTTTCCAGTCAGAACATGCTATATCACGTTTAGGTAGCGAAGCTAGCGAGCTAACTTCCTGCTAACTTCCAACTCCATTAAATTTAATAAATTCTGTTTTGAATGAATGAATGCCTGGGTGTTAACGTAATTGTTACACCTGGTAAAGCAGCAACGCTGATCATTTTATTAAAGATGAAAGAATTTAGACAGTTTTAAATTCTCAGTGACGCCAGAGTGTTCGTTTGACTTTGGGACCTGAATAGACGGAGTTTTGGACCCAGATTACTCCGAGTCCATGAGGCTCCTAACTATGGTAGCCCTAATGCTCAGACAATCCATCAAGCAGTGCCGCTTGGTAGCTTAGCAAAGTCATACTAAAACATTTTTTTGACAGATTTTTCAGGCCATGCACCACATAAAATCGGTTAGAGGACAGTAAGCACAACCAGAATTCATACATAAGGTGCACCGGATTTCAAGGTGCACTGACTATTTTTGAAAAATTAAAGGATTTTAAGTGCGCCTTATAGTGTGGAAAATACAGTAATTCAGTTAACTTTACCTTAACTTGAGCTACACTCCCGATAGTGTGTGATCATAGAGCCCCAGCGCCTAATAATTACTCTACTCCTTTGCAGGACCTAGCTCAAGTAGTTTTCTACATAATTGAATTTAAATATTGCACCTCAAAACAGGAGCTTGAAAAAAAATGCCCAGATCCTCATCCTGTTTTTTTTTAATCAAAGTAATGACAGTATGGACCTAAAATCTTGCACATTTCTGATTAAAATACAATATTTTCCTTTATACAGCCAAATCTGAGATGAGAGGCATATGAAGAACTGACTGAGCAATAGTTCGTATGTAATTGGGATTTCTCAAGCATGAGCTAAAGTGGTCCAAAAAACAACTTTATCAGAAAGGCTCGAATCCTGCATTGCATAATTAAGGCTGTCTTTATCTAAACTTGATCTACTTTTGGAGCACAATGTGAAATTCAAATATTGTAAAACCTGCTTTGCTGGTCATTTAAGAGCACTTTTCTTTCAGTCATGAAGACGGCACTGACCGATGGCTGGAGGGTCTGGCAGAGAACGTCTTCTTGGATTGGCTGCAGTGAAGGAGAAGAAAGGAGTAGCAGACTTCCCTGACGTAGTCACTGAACTCGGACTCGCCAACCCAATGTCTGTCCTTACAGAAGGCTGAAAGAGAAAACGCAGAAATGTTTAAAAACTAAAGGAAAAGAACAACTTTTATTGTCCAAACTGACCTTCAACCAGTCATTTTTTTAAGCTCTCTGCATTTAAACAGAGCTTTGTTCAAAATAACACATATTTTAATAAAGAGAAGCACTCAGTGTCTCTCACTTGACCGCTTGTATTAGATCTTTCTTTAGTACACTAACTTCAGTATATTTAAAAAAAAACATGCAAAAAATTTACTTCATGCTATGAATATTCTGAGTTATGTGGTTTCAAAGTAGAAAGCAGTTGATTTAAATTTTGCACTTTTAATTCACATAATTATTCCAGCTTTTATGAGCCCATATAACTTCTTAAGTATCCACATGAAGCCTTCAGTGCTGAAAAGCACATTTAGGCTCTGTTAAAATCTAAAACCAAATCAGTTTTACACCCACAGCAAATGCCACAATCAAAAACCAAAATCTTCTTCTTCTCAGTATTTTCAGCACTTTCTATGACCAGCTTTGAGCATTAACTTCTAATGCCTTTAAAATTTAAAGGCTATAAAATGTAACTGAGATGGAATACGTTCTTAAGCTCTGCAAATTGAATGTGTCTATAAATTGTGAGGGCTCAGAATTTGGAAAAAAAAAAATTAAAAGAATTAAAAAGTGTAAAATTGAGCCTAGCTCAATGTGTGTGGAAATTTTGGTGAAATTCTGCATGTCTTTATTAAATAAAAATCAGCTGACTGGGAACTTTCTGTCAGATGTGGTTGATTTTAAAAGAAATGAATAATAAGAAAAAAAAGCAGAAAACAAAAAATTCTATTTTGTTTTAAAAAAAAGATTTCACATATCTTTTTTTTTTTTTTTAACATGAGAGGACAGACTCCGCCAGCCTTGAAAGCTTACCATGTTACCCTGCCACCAATATCTGTTTGACCTCTACAACCCTGACAAACTGGGTTAAGACGCCCAATTAAGAGCTTGGTCTAATTAGAGTAATCGGCTGGAGATCAGGAGAGCGTAGAGTGTGTGAGTGAGGTCAACTCAGCCCGATGAAGAGTAGTAGTAGTTGGCTTGAAAACCTGCCTCATGTGCCCTCTTGGATTCTTTGCAAGCTGAGGATTGACACAGTTTACCACTGAGACGTTTCTATCTGATGCTTTAAAGTTCCAAATTTAGTTGGGACTAAAAAAACAATGTGTACATGAGAAGCAGCACAAAAGAAATGAAGATAATTTCGCTGATATGAAATGTAGGTCAGGAAAATAGTTTGCAAAAAAACAATCTGTCACTGATGCTGGAGCTTTCACATGGCACAACAGACCCACTTCTGCTGTTGCCTTTGTTCAGTGACATTGAATACCTTCAGCAGCACTGGGTCTGACCTCCTTTATGCTACTGTAGTCAGTCTGGGAGGAACAACATACGAACATCACTCAACAATCATCAGCTCAGCTCTTCCAGCTTGAATAGATCTCAAGATTGTACAAGCTTCCCTATTCAATCTCAGATTTTGTGGTGAAAAAATCCTGAAATTCTGATATTAAATGTTAAGAAGCCACAGCTCATGTGAGGCACACCTCAGCACCAATATGCACAAAGGTACAAATGGTACCATGCTCTCCCAAAAAGCTGATTCTGTTCATCTGGACGTAGTGTTTTCAGTGGGAGAAACGTTTCGTCACTCATCTAAGTGACTTCTTCAGTCTCAGCTGACTGCAGGTTATATTTGCATAAGGACTGAAACTAGCACCACTGACAAACAATTGGCCGTGAGGTCAGTTTCATAATCATTCATATGCAAACTGTTACCACGCTGTCTTCTGAGCCAAGTTGGGAATTGTGTAAGTCTTGATTGACTGTAAAATGACCACACGTCATGTGCCAAGTAGCTCATGAGATCAGTCGTCTTGTTCAGCTATTTGTCCTGATTAGATGTCAGTTGGTTAATCTCAGATCTGTGCAGCTGCAGGTGTGCACTCTTTCCTCTGTGCTTATTCACAATATCTAAAACAGTAGAGTTAGTCAGAAAGCCAAAGCAAAGATAGTTTACATTGTAGGAGGGGGTCTTGGTGGTCTTGTAGCCTCAATGGGACAAAGCCGAGAAGCCATAGCTTGGCACCAGCCTGAGGTATGGGGGTCTGTTTAACTTTTAACGCTCACTACTCAGCACAGCACACTCACCACACATATTTGCTATAATGAGACTGCCTATAACAATAAAAAAAATACTGTTTGACTTATTTTGAAGTAAAACATTTTAAAAGCGGGATGGAAATGATGCAAAGGTCTATATAGAAGCAACAATGAGAGACTCACCTGGCAGCCAGATGCCGCAGGATCCCTGCCATATCCAAGAAACGAAGCCCTCTCTGATTTACCTGTAAAAACAGACAAAAAAAGAATAATTACTATTTCAGTATTTTATGGAACTTTTATGGAATGCAGATGGTTTTATAAGTAATAACAGGCTGCGGTATTTAGCCTGCAGTCAAGCGTTTAGCGCAAGATGAACACTTAATTTGCTGTAATGTGTTCTTAGCTTTACTCACAGTGATTTGTACATTGTTGCACCTGTTTGCTTAAAACAGGATTTTCACATTATTCAATTTAAGGTCACACATTTGCTTCTGGAGCCTGTCTAGTACACAATCACTCAAACAGTGCTAGTTAAAAGCAGCCACACTGGAGCGGTGAATGCTGTGATGCAGCTCCTGTGCCGAGCAGTCACAGAAAGGAGGAGTTTGGTTTCCCTGTGCGTTGCCCTTGTAATGATTTAAAACATTATTGCTATACCTGATGAACACCTATTCTGCTGCTGTCAGATGTTGTCTACTAAGCAAAACTGAGGGCTTTAAATGAAAAAGAAAAAACTCACAAGCATGCTTAAATGTGGTAAAAATGTTATTGCAAAGGAAATACTCATATCTTTCTTTCTGGGTAACAACATGTAAACAACACAGAAGCCCACAAAGACTCTACTGTAGTATACTGACATATCATTTAACAAATTTGGGAGCTTTTATTCGAGGACACGAGCAGGATTCTTTTTCTGTTTAGAGCAATAATAAAATATCTTTGGACAATCTTGGAGCTGCTGTTCCTTTCACTGAAGCGAACAGCCCAGTTTGTCCCACTTTCATCTGCTGTCTACTGTAATATCATCTGATGCTGGCAGGAAAAAGAAGGACACAAAGAACGAGGGATTGAATCAGTAGACGGATTAGCTGACGGACTCATGGATGTACATCAAGTGGAAATCTCCGGGGCTGAAAACTGAAGCCAAGTCCTGGCAGTTCCTCTAATGGCCACTTGAAGCTGTCTCCAAAAGTGAGCCAATCCCCATAGACTTGCATGTTAAACTCAACAATTTTACAGCAGAAATAAACATATTTACAGCCCAGTACAGAAAATAGTTTTGGTCTCTATTGATAGTTGGATAATTGGGCGGTGTGGTGGTGCAGTAACTAGCATTGTTGCTTCTCTGTTGTGAGCATAGAAGGCCACAGGTTTGAATCCCCTAGTCATGGTCACCCCAGTCTAAAACCAAACATGTTAGCTTAACTGGTGACTCTAAATTGGTGTGAATGTGTGTGTAAATGATTGGCACTGCAATATACTGATGACCTGTCCAGGGTGTAGCCCATCTCCAGCAAGTCAGCTATTTAAGATTTTTTTTCCAGTTTGAAGGTAGGGGTATATCCCTTTTGACAGGCAGAAGCTGCCTTCAGGGTCTCAAATCTGAATCTGAGAAGCCGAACTGGACATAACCCTAACCCTGTTGGTGAACTGTAGAGAACTTTTAATGGAGCTATGTAGAAAAAAATGGCTTACTTTGCATTAATTGCACTCAGGACCAGGAATTTTAGAACTTTAATAAGCCCACTATGACGTCATGTGCCCTCTCAACTTTCATACTGGTGCTTCAGGCAGAACGGACTCGCTGCACTCAAGGAAAGCAATTGCCGAGTCTTTCTCAGAGTTTTCTCAAGAAAGTCTCACATCAGTTTCAAGATGTTGCAAGATGATCCCTCTCTGTAATCTCTGACCTCTTGCTCATACACGCCTGTCTTCAGTCCAGCCACGAAATGCCAAGTTACAAAAAACGTGTGCAGCAGGCCAAAACTCTGTTTGTTAGCGTAACAACAGCAAGCATAAATGGGGCACTAGTCTGTTATTTAGCACCAACTAGTAGGTATGTGTGTCTGCTTGACACACACAAAGTCCACAAATGCAAAACTATTGCAGTCGACTGACATCTAAGTATGGCTCCAAAAACATCAACACAGCAGTGGCAAAATGGGAAGTTCTGAAACCAATATTTTATGTACAGAAAATCCTTTACATTCAAGAGATCAAATGTACTCAACTGTCCTGCAGTAAATGGTTCAGTCACGAAAAGTTTCCTTATCTGGATTCCAGTAAAAGCAGGTTCTGTTACAAGCACTATTCAGCAGACCAATAGCAACACCTGCAATACTTCTGTAAAACTGCGTTATGACTCTCAAAGTTTTCTGTATGCAAAGTATGTTTTGGTGAATAATTACTGATCCAACTGTCAGAGTCCGTCTCTCAGTGTCAAATCCTCAGAGGAAGGCTCCCAAGGATCCGTCAGGGGGGGAAATAGACCTTAAAGCACACAACACCCATGAATCACACACATCACAATATCCACACTCAGCACTTTTAGTCCCCTGGAAAAAACAAACAAACAAATGAGAGCTCCTCTGGGAGAATGATGAATAACTTTAACGGCATCGTACATTATTTTTGTCAGATTTCCAAATATTACAAGCACAGACAAAAGTGTTGGAACTAAATTCTGTTTACTCTGGGGACAAGGAAAATATTTTTTGTGCGTTAAAAACCTGCATAGTTCAGATCTTTTGTTACACAATGACTGATCTGAACAGCACTTTCACATGCGCAGGTGAACCGAGGCACATCTAAGAGAATTCACTTGTGCTTATCTGAGCAGTCCTGCAGGAGACAGTTGTTCTGCATCTGTCCATGCCGCCTTTAGAGATGAGGGAAGCTGAGGGAATCAGAGAGGATCGTTTAACTGGCAAAGCTGCTTCTTTTCTAACAATGATGTGAAACAGTTCTGAGCCATTGCGCTTGCAAAAAAGAAATAGGATTAAGTTGTCAGTTACCACCAACGTTTTCCATCATGGCAGGATGATGAAATGTCTCCTCTGAATGAGAATATTAATTTCTTTATTTTCTGCCTCATGTTCGAAGACGGTTTAGTGAAATTCATTTTCACTCATCAGATGTAATCAGAGAGAAAGGTCTGGTCAAGGGCAAGAGTTGAATATTCACTGCAAGCACGTGTTCTTGCACACACACCGCGTCTGACGTGAATAATTGATCGTTAGTGTCGTAGGCCCAGACTCAAACAACAGATGTGTTTGCAAAAACAGTCGCACTTTACACTATGACACAGAGAAGCAGTCCCTCAGGGCCATGAGAACAAAGCCTAACAGAACGAAGTCTAACAAGTGCTGCCTACTGTGTTTAGCCCTTTACATCGAGCGTGTTGCTAAAAAACTACATAAAATTCCCAATTTCTCAGATGGAAACTTGTACACGCCGAAAGATCTGCGGGGGGGGGGCAACAAATTCATCCACAAGAAGTGATGATGAGCTGCTCTGGATTTTTCTAAAGAAGAAAGAAGAAACTGAGATTCTGAATTCATCCAATTCTCACAAGAAGGTTTGATCCAGCAGTAGAGGCTGAATCACGACTGCTTTCGTACATATTTCAGGATGTGAGCGAGGGCAGTTTCAGCTGTCATCGGCAGAGTTGGGAGCACATCAGAGGAGGCAGATAAATCACTTCAGAGAGCCGATTGACCCACAGCAGCGTCTAAGTGTGTGTCTGAGGTAAAACAGCATGGCTTTACTATTTCCATATCTTTGTAAAATTCAGTACCAGGTTGCGTTTTGAGCTACAAGCGCACTTGTTGCCAAATGCAGTTGCCTGATTAGTCAAATCTGTTTATTTGACAAAAAAAATAATCTAAAGAATTTCGCTTAATCTGAAAAAATAAATGCCACAAATATGTCCTGCAAAATTACACGGTTGGCATGAACAGCTACAGAAGTCAGAAAACTGCTGCTTTGTATGTAATGTTACTTAATCATAATAGACAGGTTGCATTTTTCCTTAAATGGTGCCAATTTGCAAATATAGGGCATAGTTGTCTTGTTTTTTTGCTTTGATTACCCTGTTCTTGAGAGTAAAAACATCATTATTTAGCAAATTGAATTGACTTTAAGAATAAAACATCATGGAACAGCAAGTGTAATGTACACTTAATGTACATAGGTTTACAACTATCAGTGAGAAATAAGGTGTCAGAGCCACAAATTTGGAGAAACTGAAGCTAGACTAAGCACCTGTGAGACCACAAGACATGTCAACCCCCATTCAGACCGCACTCTATCTCTCATGAATCTGTCAGCAAGAAGAGATGGATGCAGCAGCACTCGAAGGACCAATCCAATGGCAGCGCTGGTTTAACTTCAGGAGTATGCACAGGGATCATGGATGAGCAGGTCTCTTAGCTTATTTAAACTATTCTTCAGCAAATGCAGCAGCTCTAACCTCTTTATCTGATCATGTTTCTCCCTGCTGCCCTCAGCAAACACTTCAGTGCCTTCTGCGATGTGTGGTGCAAAAACACAGCTTAAATCTCTCTGTGGTGTGATGTAGATTTACAGGAATTTGCTCCCAAATTTCAGGAGAATTCATATTTATGACGCTGAGGTAAAGTAGAACAAAGTGATACATCAAATGGAACATAATGCTGGGCTGGCCGGTTCTAAAGCCAGGAGCCTAAATTAGCTGAATAAAATATCATGCAGTGACACCATCTTCTGTCTGACGCACAAATACTGCAACTTACCGTGAGGAAAATAGGTCACAGTACAAGAGTGAATTTCCCATTAATGAACACGACTCAAAGTAACTTTTTAAACTGCACATTCATGATTGAATTAGTTACGTTTGAAGCTTATATATTAAAGCACATCCCTACTGTGAGGAAAGAGAATTAAAATAAAAGCAGGATTTAACCGTTTCATGTACTTGAGGCTTGTTATCGGCCGCATTTTGTTTTGCCTCCTCCGTGGAAGTCTGTGTGATCACAGCCTCACAACAAGAGCAACACAAATATTGTTATTATTACTTCCTGAGTACGCCCATTTTTTCTGTGCGGCTCTACATGGGACTAAAGCATGTGTTTTCTTTTTGTGCCGTCACAGGCCCACTAATGAGTCACCGAAGTGCAGTGATTGATAGACAGCACAATTCATTAGGTGCCTTAAAACATCAGTGAGAGATAGAAAATGTAAGAAAGCAACGCGAGTAAAGTGG